ACAGAAAGGACACACATTGTAAGGATGGGGTGGATGAGCGCATGGAAGACCTAACTGAGCATTCTCAAAACAACAACTGCCACGACGGCTGGCATGAAGCATGCCAACCATACATTCCTGACAAATAGCATGTCTATTGCAGGCCAGAATAAAGGAAGAACGCCCCCCACAAAAGAGCATGCATTATATATTATATATCGTCACAAACAGAATATATATATATCGTCACAAATAGAACTGCCCGGTAAACCGTAGGCAGAGAGAGAGAAGAGGACAACAAACGAGGGGCTGTGACAAACTGTTTCGTCGGAGTTTCACCGACTCATCAGGAGGCTGTATATATATATTATATATCGTCACAAACAGAACTGCCCGGTAAACCGTAGGCAGAGAGAGAGAAGAGGACAACAAACGAGGGGCTGTGACAAACTATATATATATACAGGGTTGCCGGCATTCGGGACGGGCCGGTCGCCCGAACCCGAACGCCCGAACGTACGGGACCCCTTCGGAAGGCGTTCGGCCGTTCGGGCCGAACGCGGACCAAAAAAAAAAAAAACAAAAAAAAAAACGTTTTAAAAAAATTCCGAAAAAAAACTACGTGGAGAAAAATAAACTAAACAACATTTGCCTGGGCACTACATCGAATTCTTTACCAAATTTGAATTAAAAATCAAATACAGAAAATAAACACTACGATAAAAAAAATAAGAAAATAAAAGAGAATTAAAATGAGTGAGTGTGCCAGCACCTTTTCGACACCGCCATCTTTGCCGATTTTTAATTATTTTTTGGCATTGACAAAAACCCTGAAAATGTACAGATATGTAGTTTACATAATCAATAACTCGTTATTTTTTTTTCAAAAAATAACAAAATTGTTTAGGCCCCGAAATAAAGTGAAAACAAAAAGTTAAAAGTGAAAAAAATAAAAATAGTGAGTGGGCAAGCACGTTTTGACACCCCCATCTTTGACGATTTTTCATGTTTTTTTGGCTTAGCAGAATGGTTTCAAAATTTACAGGCGTGTAGGTTACATCATAGAGAACTCACAAAAAGAAATTCAGAAAAAAAAACTTATGTTTAGGCCCCGAAAAAAAATTTGGAGGGGCCGAACCTGGAGGTGTTCGGCCCCCGAACGGGACCCCGAACGCCCGACAGGTAACCCTGTATATATATATATATTTTTGCACGCCCGGGTGCCCGGCCGGGCAGGACAGCCCGGGCGTGAGAATCTTCCTAGGATTTTTTATTTTTTTTTTACTTTCTTTGCTGGGACTTCCCTGGTCCTTGCACGGCTGGGACACCCAGGAAAACAGGGTGACCTGGGCGGCCCGGCTGGTAGCCTAGGTAGAACCCATGTCAACACAACCACTTGCAATCAGCTAGGAATCTTGGGAAAAACGAGCCATGGCCATCAGGACCTGTTTTGATTGAAAAAAAGAAGAAAAAAAATTGCTCAGAATGCACCCACAATCTGTGCTCCCTGGAATGGAAATGGAGCCATGGCCCATGGCCATAAGGACCTGTTTTGATTGGATTTTTTTTTATTTTTTTTTAATTGTGCTCAGAATGCAACCACAATGTGCATTGAAATCGCACAAGAGTATTACTCGCAGCAAGCACGTTTTTCTTTGTTTCCCCTTTTTCTTCAAAACAATTGCTTGGAGCGCACTCTGAATCCACTGTCTTCTGGAAACCAACTTCAAGACTCAGAGAGCATGCTTGAGAATCATCGGAGTGCAGGGAAGTGAAAGTGATCAAGCATACCATTGGAGCAGTGGCAAGCTGATGAGAAGAGAGAGAATTGCAGACCAGAGCTGAAAAGCATCCTCGGGCTGCTGTTTGCTGGGATTTGAATCTTTGATCTCAACTTGAAGATTCCACAACCATTGTCGTTCATTGAATAGGATTATAGGATAAAAGGACATTACAACACGATCTTGCTCAGATGCGTTGGAAATCAAAACCTTCCCGCCCTATTCGGACGATGATGCACGTAGTGTGTGTATCGATTTGCATGCTGAAGCATAACAGGAAAAAAACGAGCCCATGGTTGGATGCAGCGTGAACTTTAAGGATCTAAAGAAAGAAAGAAAGATTCTAAGCCCGTGATTGGTGTTCAGATCCTTTTTTTTGGGGGGGGTGGGGAAGTGAATATTTCGTGATTTATGCATGTCATCCTTGCGGAGAGACCATGGTAATCAATTCAATCTTCTCTGTACCACTCCAATTTTAATTGATGTGCTGCTGAAGGACTGGGAGTTCAGATCCTTGTCAAAGGGGTTCTTATTTCTTCAGAGAGAAATGAAGATCATTCGATGACGACTCACGTCAGTTTCTGAAGGAAACGGTGGTTGAACCTTGAAACTGCCATGAACACCGGAGAGATTCAAGGACGGACATGGAGAGATCTTACCTGAATGCGAGTGTCCAGACACAGTCTGTGTGGCCTAGAAGAGGAGCAAGCCGGCGACCTGAACCTATGTCCCACATGATGATGGTGCCATTCTCATCTCCTGAGGCGACGTAGCGACCACTCGGAGACATTGCCAATGACAGGACAGTGCCCCGGTGGCCGGTGAAGATCCGCATGCACTCTCCAGTTTGTACATCCCACAGTCGAACGGTCTTGTCACTTGATCCCGTAGCAATGTAGTTACAGTTCACATGCCAACGCACACACTGGTCTATTGTGTATGTATGCCACACCAACCATAAACCGAACAGCCGAGCATGACAGCCATCAATGATCAATACGTTTATCTGGTCTTGTCCTTGCCTCACGGAGAGGGCAAGCTTCCACTTTGCTGTTATCCAAAGGGCATCCATAGGCAAGTCTGGGATGAGGATCTTCTAAAAGAGTTCCAAGTTCAACCTTGATAGCAATATGATCGGATGCATTCACTAATGCTGGCTGTCACTTGGAGCCAGTTCGCAGAAGTTTTTCAAAGGCACCCATGATTTGATTTCAGGGTGGCCAGAAAAGTGTAGCATGCTAGAGCCTGACACCAGGGGCCCAGCATTCGTAGCCCTGCAGGGGGTCAAGCCAGGAACATGAGGCCTTTCTCCAGGCAAATGGCACTCTTTCATGTCAACGCCTGCCAGGTTTCATTTCAACTTATGCCAAGTTACTTTCCACATTTTTAAGAGTCCGATCAAAAGACACTGATAGGCATCCTGCTACTGGAGCTTCTATCGGTCCAGACAGCAGCCACCATCAATGGGACAAATGTTAAGGAGTTCAGCCACTGATGTTCACATGGTTTAAATCAATACAGCAGCCATCATCAAAGGGAAACACGTTGGAGTTCAGTCACTGATGTTGGTGTGGTTCAAATCAATGATGCCCAGCATGGCAATTGTGTGCCAGGACGACAACCCACCACCATCACCACAACAAGAACCATGTTACATACTTCAATGAGTATGGGCAGAACCAAAGATCAACCAATATAGGATGAGCATTTATGCAGCGGAAGTCTGATAACGAACTGACTCACATAGACTGACCTACATGGCATCACTCCACACACATACAATCATGAGATGGTGGGGTCTGGGTCATTCATAGACGATACCCAGATCCCGTACACACATACACAGATGAAAGGTGGAAGGAGAGACGAAGGAGGTAGGAGGTAGATCACACCGATAGGTCACAAGATAGAGTCTGGTAGGTCTCCGAAATGGTAGTCCAGAATGTCATATAACAAGATCAAAATGTCGAGGACCAAAGGTCACCAATGTCGGAGATAACCGAGTCCAGATGTAACC